TTCTGTAGCATTTCACGACGCCTCTTGCTTGCCTGCGTTGCGGTAAAAGAATGATGGCAAAACGAAAAAATATTAGAATTAAAGCTAATTAGCGGCAAAGTTATGCAGAGCCTAGCAAATAAGGAAATTGGTGAAAAAAAGCCGTTAAAACACAGCTCGAAATGCCTCTTTTTGCATAGCCGTCACCGCTAGACATCGTCCTAGTAACAAATACCATAAATCCACCGGGGCTCTAAAAAATGCATCCGTGACAAAATCTCATTCTAGCTTAATTATAATATCCTGTCGAATATCGGATGAAGAAAGTAGCTTAGTACTCTGAGTACTGAATATCCGACTTGCAGGATTCTGGAGACAAAGCACAGTTCATACGAGAGGCATGTACGTAAGGAAAGGATCACTGTCAACGCAACAAGTAATAAAAGCATCTTAACACAAATTACGCGAAGCTTGTGAGGATAAGAATGCCCATATTTGGAAACAATATATATATAAATATATCCTTTTGAAAACCATATCATACACAGCAAATTGACTGTTTCCCATTTTACACTGACGAAATTGCCATTTGCAAATGGACTTACCTAAAGCTAACCCCAGATAGATGCCACGGGTAATTTAAGTAACAACGACGCTTAAGGCTTCTGGACGAACCCGCTATTAAAGCGAGTTCACTGCTTATTTCTATCGGTTGGTATGCGAAATTTTAAACGATTTCTTAAGCATGGGATAAGGAAGAGGTGTGGCTTTAGAATTGAATAAGCAATGCCCTTTTGCTAAAAGTTGTCTTTCATCTCCAAGTCCAGTTTGAAGTTTCCCATTTTTCCGCTCATTAAACAATGTAAAACTGCAGCGAATCTATAATATTTGTAAAGTTTTAAGTTGAATTACTACCAATGAAGTTGATATACAGACGCCCCAAGTCGAATAAGAATGAATACTTGGCACACAAGCAAAGTCGGCCTTTCAATGCCATACTTAGACACTTTCTAAATTTGTTTGGATCTTCATCAATTGATCGCTTCAGCCATTATACCATCCCTATCAGTGTGATTCATCTCAGTTAAACTCGGTTTCACTGATGCACCAATAATAGGTATTTTGGGTAAATATTTGTTGAGAAGGCTTTTAGCTGTAGGCTCATGTGCTCAAAAGCACAAGAATAATGGCCTACTTGTGCCGTCGGATTATGCAGAATCCAATTGGCGCTATTTGTCTATATGTTTTTAGGTATTTAACTAATATATTGTTGGCATACCCATGAAGGGGTTGCAGAGAATGGCTGCTGTAGCCGCATAGGTTTCACTGTGTCTAGTAGCTCAAGGACAGTTTAGCACCGACCCAGGGTCAGATAGTTTTAGGAGCAACATGTCTGTCTGGAGTATGTATATACAACTCGATATTAGGATAGATGGCACGTAAAGATTCCAAGTAAATTAATCCTTCAGTGTGGGCACTTAAAACGCCAATATAAAGCTAAAAATAACAAGTATAACCGATTAGGTTAAACTCTCTAAAGAAAAAAGTAGGCCAACTTTGTGACCTTAACATGTCTATGCACTGAAATAAACTAGATACTCAGAATCGAGAAACCCCAGGAAATGCCTTTAGCTTTTATTGCTTGTGTACTTTACAAGTCTTGCATAGAGGGATATCTAATCACAAGTATGACTGCGGTAGAAAAACAAAGTTAGTACTTGATGTCACTTGATTCTCGGTCATACTAAGCTCTAATTAAAACAAAAGGCTAGAATTAATCAAGTGTCCAGAATAAGCAGATGGCATGGAAAAGAAAAGAATAGAATAGAGATTGATAAAAGTGATGTCAATTAAAAGTAAATCAGAATAAGATGGAATAGAATTTAACCAAAGTTGCAGTAATACAATTGATTAAAATGGAACAGGATAGAAGAAAGTGAAATAGAGAAAATGAAAAAAATAAAAGGACATGTGAGATACAAATTATACATGAAGCATTATGACATTAAGCAATAAAATAGAATAGTATAAAATTTTAAAAAAAACAAGAGAATACATCAGACTACAATGAGATACAAAAAATAGGAATAAAATATATGAATCATTTGCTCTGTTAATAAAGATGTTCCTTGATATTATGAAGTAAAGTAACTAAAATAGAGCCTTTATTACTTCATGCGGCCTGTGGTGGCTATAACTTTCAGTCTAGATCTACTGATAGCATCGAAACCTATTAAATAGCAACAAAAGTAATGAAGTCCATAAAAATACAAATACAAACAGGAGTTTGACTCTTCAAAAATCTCACCATATATGTGGTATATGAAGACCCTGATGGCCCACTAGCACACGTGGCATTGTGATGTAGTAGCAACAAGTCACTGAAGATGACGACTACGATGCCGGAGAAACGTCTGGGAATGTACCACGCCCACGGTCCGACTTTGGAAATGATCATAATACAATGGACTCCGGACTAGGTGCGTTCCTCTAAGTCTTCCTACCAATATGAACAAGTTGCGAAAACAATGTCAACAACTTCTATACAACGAAAGGAGATTGCGGCCATGCAAAAGGCACACAATCTTGGTCTTCAAACTTTCGTTTAAACATCTATCATTGTTCATTTGGAAAAATAAAGCCCTTAATCTGCCTAGTATGTGGATTCCGGTGTTTTTATGGGCACCCTTTATTTTGCGACGCTACAACAACGCTTATTCGCAGAATTTTGTTCGTGACAAGATCTGTCTCATTCCGCAAGTCTACTCGCCATTTTAAAGTCTGTTTTATTGTGCACTGCAACGTACTGCTAAAACATGGGAACTGAAAGCCATGCAAATAAGAGTTGGGTTTCGAGGACTCTCTTGTTTCATAATTGTTGAGCTGACTTCCATCTAGACTAAAAATGTTTGGTAAAAATCGTTCCCACCAAAAGACCACGACGGAATTCTCTTCGCCAGTTGCGAGTGGCTTTACTATAACATTCTGGTTGACGCTGTTTGACCTTCGAGTCCAGTGAAGGCGTGCTAAGCTCTCGTCCATCGTATGAAGGATATAATCATACATAATCATAACCATATTTAGGCTAACGAGTGAAGAAAACCCCTTCATGTGTTGGTATCTGTGCGAAATTCCTGTATACCTTAGAAGATAGCTTAAATATACGGTATATGTATATACAGCATTCGGTGATTGGTCAGGGAGTTTTCTTGATTCCTTAACTTGAATATGGTTGATTATGCCCGCAATACGACGGACGAAAGCTTAGCACCTTTTCACCGGAATCGAAGGGGATTGCCTCGAAAGCAGCTTCAACAAGAATGTTCCAGTAGAGCCAATCGACCGATGATTGAGAGGAATCTGGCGTAGTCTTCTCGTGAGATCCACCTTCGAATCTCTTCACCGAACACTTTTACTCGAAATGGAAGTAGGCTCAACAACTAAAGACTCTTTTTGCTCATGTAAACAAGAACAGGACTTAAGAAGCTAATATTTACCCAGTCAAACATGGTAGGGTGATCATATACTCAGGGAAAATTTGATGAGATTTTAGCCAGATTTGAAACCAGATACAGACTCAACAGTACTTAGGCCCAGTTGGCCCTCCCGTCAAGATTCGGTCGAATCAAACTTTACAAAATGCGTTAAGTCAATTAATCATTCTGCCATTTTATCCATAATAATTGAGCCAGATTAGATTAGACTTGCATCGAGCAATCATGGGCACATGAATACAGCAGGGCTATGTTAGCCATTGTCGTCGGAAGCATCCGCGATTGTCAAGGGGTCGTTGTTCAAACTAAAGATTGCATGAAAGGGCTTTTAAACAAATTGTCTTTATTGTGAAGGACGTATGAGTTCCAAAGGCAGGACGGAAGCAAGAGTGGCCCTTTGAATGCGAACTAGGCAGGCTCAATTACTTTAAATGAGTATATTTTATAAGTCCCTTGTGTTGGACGTCAGTTTCATTTTCTCATGGTGTGATGTAGCTAAGGCTATCAAAGGTGGGATGGAAACAAAAGGATAATTTAATGCATATCAAAAACATTTCCCAAAGGCTCTGAGCTAGGATGAGTACCATTCTAGAATAATTTCTTTCTCTCTCAAAAAAACTGAATCGCTTCTGTGCAATACTTACGTCAAAATAGAGCCAGAATATGAAGAAAATATGCCCCAGAATATAAATGACTATGAATGAGATGAAGACATCTCGTTCGATTCGTTTGATCTGCTCGTTGTCGAGCAGCAGTTCTGCATTATTGAGAGTCAAATCGAACATCCATTCCTCGTCGTCGTCTCCTCTCAAGGCATATTCATCTTCGTCTTCCCCTTCTTCCTCTTTCTCCCCGTCATCCTCGAATCCGCTGTCCTGCCCATCATCAGGCCTTGTTCTGCTCCCGTCGCTTTTACTGACCCTCTCTACTGTAGATGCGGCAGACGGGTTGACCAATGCTCCCGCTCCCTTGTCCACCGAGCCGGGCGTCGGAGTTACATGAAGCGACTCTCCTGTTTCCCCGTCGCGAGACCGTGGCCTCCCAAAGTCTGGAGACGAGGCAGCACCACTATCGGTCGTCAGGTCGCCACCGTCCGCCGAGGAGGCGGATGGATCTCGCAGGGAGGAGATCGTATAGTGAAGCGTTGGAGTAGCAGAGCTGGTGACTCTCGTGGCCGGAGAGGGAGTAGGTACTTTGGGCGACGAAGGAGTAGCGGAGGCGGCAGAAGATGAGGTGGGAAGAGGAGAGGAAGTTGTGTTGAGATGGAAGGGCTTGTTGGGGCTCCATAAAAAGGATGCACTGGAGGAAGGGTTGGTGGGAAGCGAGTTCTCGGTCTGGGATGGGAAAGAAATGTGGGATGTAGAATAGCCATGCGGGCTGGAAGGCTGCCAGGTCTCCCGATTTCCTTCAGTGTCATCTGTCGTTTCCGTTGCCAGCACAGTTGCAATAGCAAAAACGGGAGAAATGTAAGGACATGAAGCTATGACAACGTAAAACTGGCGCTTTGGGATGATGCAAATTAAGACAAGGCAAAAGAACGTTGCGTTCCGAGGATTCTCTCTTTTCATAATTGCTGAGCTCACTTCCATTTCGAGTGAAAGTGTTTGGTGGACAGACTTGAAGATCAATCCCAACAGAAGACGACGGCGGATTCCGCTCAACCAACTGTCGATTGGCTCAACTGGGACATTCTTGTTGATGCTGTTTCCGAGAAAATCTCCTTCGATTCCGGTTAAAACGTTCTAAGGTTTTATCCGTCGAATGACGGACATCATCAGAGCAGGGAGGGTATCATCCTTACAACCATATTCAGACAGATACGAATACAAAGAAGTTTTCTTGATTCGCTAGCTTGAATATGGTTGTAAGAATGGTAATATATACGAAGAAGAGTTTGGTTTCGAGGAATCTCTTGTTTCC